AGATTGGGCGATAGGTAGATGCAAATAAGAGTGAGACACACGCAAACACACACATACATGCACAAAAAGATATCAATCTATAGAATTTATCAGATCATTTTGAAAATTAAGAATTATGCATGGTACTTGTGAAGCATTTTCGTAAAGTGAAGAATAAATAGTTTCTCTCCTCCCAAGAAGAAAATCAGGTCAGGAAAATTAAAGCATATTTATATATATATACACATATTGGCATATACATATATATATACATATTCATATATTTGCATATATATACTTATATGTATGTATATATGTGTATATATGTAGTGTACACACACACACACACACATTCTTTGCTTTAGTGTGTTCTCGAAATCTTTCAAAAACAGGCCATTAATTAATGAAAAAGTTGCGAATTAGATTTTTTTTCCTACATTGTCGGTACATCTCGAAATATAACGTAAGGATGATGTTCGTAGAAAATATATGTGTGTGTATGTGTATGTGGTGTTTGTATGTATGTGTATGTATAGTATATATTTATGTAAATGTGCATTTCTACTTCTACCTATATAGTATAAACGTATGGCAATGGGTATGTTAAGTATTCCAAATGCTAGACACATGCCGCCTCACTCTTGAAAGCAGGTAAATTCTCCTTATCCATTTCCTTTGGTTTATTGCTGATCTGTGTAATTCCTAGAAACTCTCCTATGGGAATTGTTGGTTATATGCGATTTCTGACAAGAGGTTAAATTGTATATGTTATTATACTGTGCTTCAATTTAATGGAATGAAGTGTGTACGATAAATCTTATAATCAATATGCTTAATCAAGTAAACCATATATCTAAAATGACTGATTGAAGACATGCTCATTCAAAGAAAATGAAAGAAAGTAAAAATGAAGAGAGAAAATCATGTATATGAGGGAAGCCCTGATACTTATTGCTGAAAAGTTAACACTTTCTTGTTGCTGCTTTTATATGCTAGCAACATTTAGTCGTAAAAATGTCATGCTTGATTTATTTGATCCTCCAACAAAACTGTAGCGCATTTTTATTCGCTTCTGCGTGTAAATAGTTCTTATACACGTGGGATTAGCGTCTGATTTCACCTTGAGGGACTGGAAGATTGATCGCAACCTTGAAGCACACACAAGTTATACATTTTTAGAATAGTTTTAAAATATATTTTTTCTCCAGTGTCATGAGAGTGCTATCACTGGTGTATTGACAATAACCTATTTCACACGATGAAATGACGAAAAGTTTATGCGGACTTCGAAAGCAGAGACAGCAAGTCTTCCCCCAAGGTCAAGCCTGAAGTCTACCATGAACCACTTTGGTGCTGAATAGAAATTTCATTGCAAATCTGTACGTGGATCTGGTTGCACATGTAAGGGTATCAGTGGCAAGGGGACTCTCGAAAATGCATCGTCCAAATGATGATGCCCGTGAAGCGGACGGAGAGATTAAGGGCCGGGGCAGGTGGGCCCCGTTTACCCCAAATCAATAAAACAAAAAAAAATACTTAGTTCCTTAAAAGCCTCAAGGAAGTGTGGGTCTGTCTAGGGGTTAGAGTGATGATGCATATTTCAACTATCCGTATACTCAAAATGTTTTGCAACATCAGCTTTCGTTAAAGTAGGCAAGTAATGAAGTCAGATGCAGCCTTATCTCTGGTTCGACGCCATCTCACTGTAGGATCCATGGAGGACACGTAAACACAGGTGCAGACTTAACACTCTTTATTCAGTCGAATCCTTCCCCTTCTGTAGGCGGGAGGAACAAAGCAATACAAAAGTTTCTATGAAAACAAATATTTACAAAGTAATTCACAGTGAAAAGGATATATAACAGAATAAAAAGACAGTAATAAGCAAATCTTAATTATAAAAATGACAAATGATAAAACTGAAAAGATAAAACGAACTAAAAAATAATTATGGCAGAAAGATTACACACAATAAAATCCATAATCAATATACATACAATGATAGATATAACTAAAATATCACAGAACATAAAAGGTAGAGAATAAATGCCTAATAATAAAAAATAAAAGGGGAATTATGCCAAACACATTTACAAAAACAAACAAACAAACAAACAAAAAAAAAAAACGTGAAAACAAAGCTTCAACTAGCTTGCAATCACAGTTTCCAAAATGAACAAGGAAGAACTGTAAAAAAAGGTTACAAACTAAAATCATACTATGAGGGAACTATAAAAGATGAGCGGCTCTTTGATAAACAAAAACAAAGATTTCTAAAATGCCCGGCAATAAGAATGAAAAAGAAACGTAAATTGAAAATTCAAGAAAAAAAAACATAACCTTTAAAAGGCAAATGCAATATAATAACTGTCCGGTATACAAAGGAAAAGCCAAAAGGGTAAGGCATAAAGGGTGAGGAGTGACAGCCGATCCGTGTGTTCTTGTCCTCCAGGATCTTCATACTTTTCCGTAGGCCAGGATAGGGCAGGATGTAGGATAAGGAGGGGCTAGGCTAAGGCAAAATGAACAGGAATAGGATTTAGGGAAAAACGGAATAGAGGAAGAAGTAATGAAGTAAAGAAAAACCCATCACTAGATAGGCATGGAGGCTTAGGGTCTAGGCATTCTGTGACAAAAACATGAAGTATAAGGCAAAAATATAGAGGAGGAAAGTTACTATAGAGAAGAAAGAGTAAGAAGACAGTATAGAAAATGAAATAAGAGTAAAGAATAGCTAAAGTAACAAGGCAAATAATGGATGCTTGGCTAGGCTAGAGAGGAGAAGGAAAGTAAGAGACACAGAAGCTAGGAGAGGGAAAGTAAGAGACACATAGGAGAGGAAGTAAGAGACACAGAAGCTAGGAGAGGGAAAGAAGAGACATAGAAGCTAGGAGAAGGAAAGTAAGAGACACAGAAGCTAGGAGAGGGAAAGTAAGAGACACAGAAGCTAGGAGAGGGAAAGTAAGAGACACAGAAGCTAGAGCACAGAAGCTAGGAGAGGGAAAGTAAGAGACACAGAAGCTAAGAGACAGAAGCTACACAGAAGCTAGGAGAGGGAAAGTAAGAGACACAGAAGCTAGGAGAGGGAAAGGAAGAGACACAGAAGCTAGGAGAAGGAAAGTAAGAGACACAGAAGCTAGGAGAGGGAAAGTAAGAGACACAGAAGCTAGGAGCTAAGGAGAAGCTAGGAGAGTAAGAGACACAGATAGGAGAGTAAGTAGGAGAGGGAAAGTAAGAGACACAGAAGCTAGGTAGAGAACAGAAGCTAGGAGAGAGGAGACACAGAAGCTAGGAGAGGGAAAGTAAGAGACACAGAAGCTAGGAGAGGGAAAAAGAGACACAGAAGCTAGAGAGGGAAAGTAAGAGACACAAAAGCTAGGAGAGGGAAAAATAAGAGACACAGAAGCAGGAAATAGAAAGTAGGAGAGGGAAAGCAAGACCAGGAGAGGGAAAGTAAGAGACACTAGAAGTAAGAGAGAGCTAGGAGAGGGATAAGAGACACAGAAGCTAGGAGAGGGAAAATAAAGACACTAGAAGAGGGAAAGTAAGAGACACAGAAGCTAGGAGAGGATAAGAGACACAGAGCTAGGAGAGGGAAAGTAAGAGGAAGCTACACAGAAGCTAGGAGAGGGAGGTAAGAGGGACACAGAGGCTAGGAGATTAATAAGAGACACAGAAGCTAGGAGAGGGAACACAGAAGCTAGGAGAGGAAAGAAGAGACACAGAAGCTAGGAGAGGGAAAGTAAGAGAGACTAGAGAGGGAAAATAAGAGACACCTAGGAGGGAGGAGACACAGAAGAGGAGAGGGAAAGTAAGAGACACAGAAGCTAGGAGAGGGAATAAGTAGCACAGAAAGGAGAGGGAAAGAAGAGACACAGAAGCTAGGAGAGGGAAAGTAAGAGACACAGAAGCTAGGAGAGGAAAATAAGAGACACAGAAAGAGAGGGAGATTAGGAGAGGGAAAATAAGAGAGCTAGGAGAGGGAAAGGAAGAGACACAGACACAGAAGCTAGGAGAGGGAAGACTATTTAGGAGAGGGAAAGTATTAGGATAAGAGACACAGAAGGAGAGGGAAAGTAAGAGACACAGAAGCAGACACAGAAGCTAGGAGAGGGAAAAGAGACACAGAAGCTAGGAGAGGACACAGAGCTAGGAGAGGGAAAGGAAGAGACACAGAAGCTAGGAGAGGGAAAGGAAGAGACACAGAAGCTAGGAATTTGAAAGTAAGAGACACAGAAGCTAGGAGAGGGAAAGCAAGAGACACAGAAGCTGGGAGAGATTAGAAAGGAGAGCACAGAAGCTAGGAGAGGGAAAGTAAGAGACACAGAAGCTAGGAGAGGGAAAGGAAGGGAAGTAAAGGGAGTAGGAAATAGAAGGAAAAAAGGGGTGAGGGAAGGCAGAGAAGGGAGGCTTGGGGGCCTCACACACCCGAATCTAAATAGACCTTGGATCAAGGGTCGACTATTTTTGAGAAACTAATAAAGAAACTAATAAATATTGTCTAAAATATAATCTTCGTTGGTGGATGTCGAAATAGAAGTTTAGGAAGACTGGGAGTTTTATTAACATTACCACTCATGCACCATTACTGGTTTGTTTATTTATAGGCCATATAAATGCATGGTACATTCACATGTATTACAAAAATTAGAGGTTATGGGAAATATTTCCAATTCTTTTTTTAAATCCTTCTAAATACTATGAAATGTCTCGTATTATTCAATCCCTCTAACTTCCCAAAGGCATCCCTTGGTTTAAAGATATATTCCTGGGAAACGACAAAATGTTTTAGGCTTGGCTAAGAGTCGTACCTCAGTCGCTAAGTCTTGGTTTATTATTATGGCAAATTTAGGAGACACCGATTTAAATAACGTGCATGCCTATCAGGAGAAATATCGATCTGAACGATGATCTATAAAGTCTAAGCAATAGTTGGTTTCTTTAAGATATTTCCTTAATACAGTCATGTTACTTTCAAGAGTCTTTTCTTTCATTAAAAAATCAGGTTAGAAATAATCAAATGAATTCTAAGGGTTTATTAGAAAGAGATGTGCAAAATAAAGGTGGATTTGTGATTAGGTTTTAGATTTGAAACATTCTGAATCGAATCAGCATTTACAAGATCATTTATCAGTTTGAAAGGAGCGAAAAAAAAGATTCGATAACAAGTCCAAAGGATTTTCGGTGTGTTGCTTTCCTCTTTCCGTGTCTTTTGTTATACTTCTTCACCTTCGCCTTCACACGCGTCCTTGATACATTTTATGAACTCGAAGAGCACCATCAACTGCGGATAAATAGAAAGAAACCATTAATGAAAATAATTTCGGGGCTTAAAACAGTAGGTCATCTCATACAGTCAAGAGATCATTGTTGGCAGTTGGTTATATCTTTGAGGCGAGTTTGGAAGCCTTACGCTAGGTTCGCCCTCTTCGAGCACACAGTCTCCGTCCTCAATGGCAGCCAGCATAGCTTCTGCTTCTGTAGTTTGGTCTGCTGCTTCCAACTTGGCGATCAAGTCGTCTTTGAACGTCGTCGCATCGAACAAACCTTCGTCCTTTTTGTATATAAGATTAGAATATGATGAAATAATGGTGTGGCTTCAAGTTGTGATGATATTGATGAATATGTTGATATTGCTTTTAATATGTTTGTTTGGAGATGGTATATTGAAAAGTCTGTTACTTGCAGTGAGCTGATAAAGACAGTTTTACATTGGTGTGAAGTTTAGATGCATAAGGAGCGACGCCAACTCACTGTGAGAAGACCTTCCTTTTCGAAGA